TGTGCTCTGTGAGCAGTGCCCCTCTTCTGTGCTTGGTGACGCAGCTGCTGCCTGCATCAGGCAGGAAAGAAGGCTGGTTGCTGGCAATGACACTTGGTGTGGCCCCGCACAGTGCCCCTCTTCCATGCCTCGTGTTGCTGCTGGCAGCTGTGCTGAGTGGGACTAAGGCTGGTCACTAGGAATTGCACCTGGCCCAACTGCTTGCACATGCCCTGCAGGTACTTTTTGGACAGCTGCACCAGATGAAGGTTGCTGATTGTGGAACTTGAGGCCTGGAAGCATTCACAGACTTCCTCTTGGTTTGCCGTGCTTTGCAGAACTGGCCAGAGCACAAGAGGAAGCCCATGGATGCTGGAGGGACAGGTTCTCAAAGGGTTCCTCCCAACCCTCATCTTGAGTCCTGGTATAGAGGAAAGGTGGAGTGCCAGTGGAGTGAATAAAACTGTGAACAGAACCCACTGAATAAATGCCTGGAGACAGCCTACCGAGCAGTGTTGACTCAATTCCTCTTACTTACCTCTGCAAAGGAGCATCTCTCAAGCTTCTTGCAAAATGCTAAAGCTGTGAGCCAGGCTGAATCTCTCACAGGAGCAGGGCTAATGAAGGACTGCAGGCTTATGGGCTCCGGGGAAAACCCCTCCCCACACAGAAGCCGCCCATCTCCCTTTTCTCTGGAGTGAGCTGGGAAGGCTGACAGTGTTGTTATCGGAGGCACAACTATGCAGGGCGGTGTTTGTATCTGGCACCTGATCCATTTGATCCATTGCACTTTTTGATTGGGGGAGGGGAATACAGTCTGGGTGCCCAAGTTTGCTCATAAGGAGGTTATTTGAGTACAAAGAAGATTACATTAAGTAAATTTACCCAGGTGGAACCTTTCTGCATTGTTTCCCCTTTCTCTGGTTGCTACACCAGTGCAAAACATTTATCAGGTATGTGAAACTGGGAAAAACTAAAGGAGAAGACATAATATAGCAGTCATGAAATCCACTATTGGGTCACACCCTTCCATCCTCCCTCCCTCCCTCCCTTTGTATAAGTTTCTGAGAGCAGATTCTCATGCCCTGTTTTACTTGTAAGTGTGTCTAAATTAGCTCTTTACATCCTGGATATATCATTGATTTGGTCCCCCTCTTTGTGAGATAATGCCACATACCTCCATAAACTCTGGTGATATATCCATAATTTGCACACAAAAAAAAGGAATAGAAAAGAATCCTAGACACACATTTATTTGCACCATTTCAGACTAAGCTTTTATTTTTAATATTACAAACCATTTTTTTTTCATTATTCACAAACTACTGCAGTGATATAAACACTAATTTCTAAAGACAGGTATACACACTCATTGGGTTTAAGATCTGTAACAGTTTTGAAGTCACTACATTCTACATATGGTATTAATAATTTATTTTAAAAGCAGAATTCATAGTATTAATAATAATTTGTATAACTGAAAAAAACATTCCCTATATCAGACATACATTCGAATATAATGAATGACAGGCGTGTTGTAGGAGTTTACACAAAAATATTTCCCAACAACATTTGGCAAACCTCATCCATTGCAATGATCTCCAAGATTTAAATATTAGATACCCAGGGGACTGCACCAAGTAATGCAGTCACTTCACTCAAATCAAAATGATAAAATAACTTATAACTGAATTTGTGTAAGTTAAAAAAAATAGTTACTTTTTTAAAAAAAGCGTTTCAGAGGGTATACAGACATACATTCTTTAAGCAGCTATGCTAAAGTCAGACGAACCCTTTGTGCCGTTCAGGACTGGAACAGACTTCCTGCCCAGGACTGGGTCCAGAGAAAGCCAGTTCTAGAATGGCTGACTAGAGTGGCAGTCAGCTTGCACAGCACTGGCTGGCGTGTGATAAGGCGAACCCTCTTCCTCCCAATTTCTGAACTCGTTACTGGATCTCCCCCATTTTCAAGTGACAAATAATTGTTGAAATGAACAACTATTGGTGGTGTGCTTTAAAAATGGAGGTGGGGCGGGGCGAGTGGGAAGAAGCTATCCTGAAGAAAATTGAAATGGCTGATCAGTACATCTGGTGAATGCTTTGTTGTGAAGACAATGTCTTGGAGGATAACACTGAGGCAGAGTCCAATTCACAGGCATGCCTGCATGCACCCTTGGTCTGTGAGCTCGAAAAGCCTAACATCTGATGAATGTCTCTCCCAACCCTCAGTGTTTAGGATGTCCATTCATATTAAGAATCATCACTCTGATCTTAAATAACTGCACTGAAAGATCGCCTTCACCATCCCCATGAAATATCGCCTTTAGCAGAAGTTCAGAAAGAGCTCAGCAGCCCTCTTGCGAAAGCTTCGCTTCTCTCTTACAGAAAGGATAATGTTCTGGAATGATGCAGCCTTAGCTGGTGACATGCTAAATTAGTAGAGCTGGGTAATTAATTCATGATTATCTATTTGCTGAGGCAGCAAATTGAGGCACGGGGAACCCTTCTGGAATAGTGATTCTGGAAACAAGGGGTGGGGGGGGCAGCAAATGCTTGCACCCTGATGTGGCATGTTCTGGTGGCCATAGGCACGCCACGGCATGCCCCCTGCCCGCTAGCTCCTGCCATTCCCTCAGTAAAGGGTACGGGGGCGCACTGGGAGCTGTCCCGCACCTGAAAATAAATGAAAATACTTGGCTTGTGTGTGCTCACTGGGATTCAGCCTCTGTTCTGGCCTGAGATCAGCTCCGGCTTCTGATGCAGCCCATCCCTCACCTCGTTCTTTGTCTCAGGCTGCTTTGGAAGGTCCCTTGTTGAGATTTAGTGGGGCAGGGGGAAGTGGCTGGACAGGTGCCACTGGAAGGAAGGTTTATTTAGTGATCTGTGAATCACAATGTGGGCTGCGTCTAAAGCACAGGGGTTAAAATATGGATAAAATATGGATTGTTCCTCGGCTAGTGGTAAGACAGTTTTAGTAGCCAATCTTTTAAACCATTTATGGTTTTTCTCCCCTTCTCCCTTGCTGCCCCTCTCTTTCTGTGCCTTTCTCTCATTCCGCTCTGTCCCACTTGGGCCTGACAGAAAGGATTCCTCTTTTTGTTTTCCTCTTTTGATAGAAATGCTCCAGAAACCTTGTTTTCAAATCTTGTGAAACTTTATTGATGGTTATCGTTCAACTGATCATATTGCATGCACATTACGATGACAAAGAGAAAGCCTGATCACAAACACTTTTTAAAAAGCAGAATTGTTTATAGCAAGTTGGCAGGTTCACAGCAGTGAATTGATACTGATATTTATTTATTTTAAACTAAAGTGCTTGCCTCTTTTTGGCACGCACAGTACACATGAGAATATAACTATCTTCAGAAGAACTGTAATGGTACAGTTCTTCTGTGTTTATTTATTTTAAATACAAAAACAAGAAGACCCCTGACAAACACCCCAACTTAGGTTAACTTGTAAACAGGACAACAGATGCTCAAACTGCAATTTTCCCGCGGTGCCAGAAGCTGCCACTTTGGCATTGGCTGGCAGGTGCCCTGGCGGCATTCTCCGGTGTGCCAGTCTGAATGTCCGTCTTTCAACACTCTTAAAAAAAAGCTTCCTTGGACCCAGTGAATTGCAAATAAAATGGACTCGTGTTTGGAAATGGAAGTGGGGCAGGCCTGAAACACCCTGAAAAATTGCAGTTTGCTTACACGACACAGTCATGTTTCAAAAAGTACTAAGCCAATGAAAATGCCATGATTATCTCTACTCAATGGTTGCAATACTTGTAAAATGCGTATATAAATTTTGTATATGAGTAGCATGTAATTCTGTAAAAATGATAATGTGATCCCCCCACCCCACCCCACCCCACCCCAGCCCCTCTAACTTGGTCTACCGGGTTTAAAATCTAAAGCATTGCAAGTGTGTCTATTTCTTGAACTGAATAATTCCACTGCACGGATGTAAATTTTATACACTTTTTTTTAAACCGGTACAAAGAATTTAACTTTTTATTAATTTCTCTCTTTTTTTTGGAAAAAAAAGAAAAAAATAGAAACAGTGCTTTTATCACCTTTTTATAATTATTATTTTTAATCCTCCCATAATATAAAAGTCTGCAATGATATCAATAATTTATTATACTGGAAGAAATATAAAAAAGAATGCTTGTTCATGATCTAACTAGCAGGTATTTATCCATATCCATTTATTCATTTATTCATTTATTTATTCATTTATCTACCTACCTACTTTTGCCTAAATAACTAGTTATGATTGGAGCTGAATACTGCCTGGTGGAATGCATTAAAAGGGTGCCTCTAGACAGCTTTTAATTGGATTTTATGTACAGATGCCAGTTCCAGCACCCCGCCTCCTCCCCCCCACCCCTCCCCCCAGCCTCAAAATTAGCAACATAACCTTTGGCTTGGAATAAACAGTGAATCGTTTAAGACAGTTGAAATATGACTGAAGGTGCAGCGGAGTCCCCCTTGTGGATCTGATCCTGCAGAACCCCGCTCCCACCTCCTCAGCTTTCCTCTCTCCCTCCCATACTGAAGACTAAAATAAATGTTTTATGCAGGAAAAATATGTCACTTACACTCTTACAAACAAGTGAGGAATTCCAATAGCTTAATATTCAGCATATATAATTCATTTACATGATATAGCAGTCCTGATTGTGGCCCCAAACAGTTTTTTTTCATTTCTAGCAGCTTTCTAGTTCAACCACAACAATGAAAATAATAATAATAATAATAATAATAATAATAATAATAATAATAATAATAAAACTTTCTACAGCCAGCAAACTATGTAACCTTCAGAAATTAAAAGACCCACAATATTAAAATACACAGAACAAAATATCTGAGGTATAAGATAAAAAATGTAGATTTTTTTCTCTTTTTATTTTTTATTATTTTTAGAGTTGCTAAAATGATGCACTACTGCATGTATTGCAATACCCAGGCCTCGGAAAGCTTCCTTTTTTCCCCCACTTTGGAAGGGTTTTATGGTTTTGTCATTTAGTATGGAGCAAAACGGCTGTATCCCCCTCGGTATATACTAGCCTGCAATGAAGAAAGAACGAGACCCACATCATCAGCATGGCTCCTAGTCTTGGCATCAGTCAAGGGTGCAAAAGCATTCTGAAACAAAGCAATTCGATGGATTGTGTTTTACTTCTGCTTTCTTCACAACCGGATGTGCAACTTTCCTTTTCCCCCTATAACTACTGCCTCATCTCTTGGTATCAAGCAAAGTTCAGGACACATCATCCACAGCTGTGCAAGCAGGAGCCAATTGGGTCTCCAACCAATCAAGGGAGGCTCAGCTGATTAAGCATCTGCCCAGAAACCAATTAATTCATTGATAAATCCCAATACACATTTCTTTAAACATTTCCACAGAGAACAATCAAACCCTCAAACGGAAATTATGTTCTTGGTTATGGGAAGATGTTTTGACTCTTCCCTTAAAAATTCACCAGAAGTTTTGCACAACCAAAAGACTCCAAATTCGCTTCAACATTTTGCCTCACACAAATACCAATGAAAATGCTGCTCAGAAGGAGATGGATTTTTATATTTCTGGTTCATATCAGTTTTGCATGTCTTTATTCATGACTCTGTTTCTCTTGTGTTTGCATTCATCTATCTTTTAAAGCACATTAAAACATTTTTATAATGTAGTTTTGAACACATTTTCATGAGGTACCCACATCAGAATGTTTTTTCTTTGACAATACATTTTTGAAAATGCATGCTCTGTATATAAAACTATTTAAATACAAAGCTTCTTACATTTTACAGCAAGGGAGTGTAGCATAAGGTTCAGAGAAATGCAAACTCTGGAGGGGATCTCTGCTAACATGGCTTTGGAGGTGCCCACAAAGGCTGTGCGCATGTGCAGATGAAGCAAAATCCTCAGGTCTGGGTCCCTAAAGTAGGGGGTTCAGCTGCCTGCTTATGGGCCAAATCCGCCCTCTGTGGGTTGCAGACCCAGCATTCCCTTCTCCTGGTCCTATGGCTTTAGCGTCTTGGCTTTTGCAGTCCCTTCCCCCACTTTCAGAGCTTGAAATGCTCCTTCTAAGGCTAATTTTCCGGCAGCAAGAGCTATGGGTGGTGTTCTGGGCATTTGAGCGCTGGCCTGTGCTGTGGCCCTTTTGCTCACCCTGGAGCTTGGCTCCCGGCTGTCTGGGCCCTTGTGATGCCTGACTGAGAGGATGGCCTCCTCCCTGCCTGTGATGATCATTGGCTCATCTTCTCCCGGTTTCCCAGGGCAGCCGCCTCTTCTAGCTCAAATATGTTTTTGTCATTACGATACATTCATTCTTACATCATCAGTCCTCTCTTCTTCTGCTTGCAAGGAAAGCCAGGAGGCTGACACTATTCTCTTCCCCATTTCATCCCCATAAAAACAACTCTTGGAGGTAGCCTAGTGAGTGGATGGCCCAAAGTCACCCAGGGAGCTTCATGACTGAGTGGGAAGTAGATCCTGGATGTTTCACATCCCGCCGCACTGGTCCTGTAAGCATCTGACCCAAAGCTGTGCACAAATGGCTTCTTAGCATTCTCCACCATGTAAGTAGAAATTAGGAAGGGGGGATGTTCAATTACCTTGACTAGGAAGAGGAGAAATTCTCCAACAGCATCTTGGCAGAGGGGCTCACCATGAGCTTCCCTCCCGGGCCAGTACAAACTGGTGGAGTTTGTCCCACAGTGGTGACCCTGCCTGTCTTTCCTTGCCCCATCCACTTCAGACTTTCTTGGGCAATCCAAGGCTGCTTAGGCAAAGTGGAATTTCTGGGGTGTATCAAGTGATGTAATGCAAAATACCAGTCTCTGGCATACGTTTGCTCCAGGTGACGTTCTTCTTCCCTCATTTCTGAATTGCCCCATTTAGTTCAGCCTTGGCCAACTGCTTTGTGCATGCATCTGATTGCAGGCAAGATATACAAGAAAAGGCCTGGAGATCAGATAGGCATTGGTCAGGGAAATGGAGCACTGGCCCCACAGGCTCTGGATGAAATGTGGCTGCTGTGAGAAAGCATCAGAAAGCCCAGTGCTGACTTTGTGCCTGGATGGGAATGGCTAAATGCAAGTCCTTTTGCATAGACTAGACTAGAGGTGAGCAAGGATTCCCTTGCTATTCATTTTTGTATAAGAATTTACCCCAAATCCACCACTTTCTGCATATTCACGAGGGGAGGCACCTGATCTTTGAATTGTTTGAATGTGGGAAAGATGAAAATCGACATGTATATTCAACCAAGGCCAGAGTTTTGAGTTCTTAGTTCTTCAAAGCCTGGGCTTTAAATCCCTGTGTCTGTGGAGCCATAGTCAGGTTCTACCCCTTTTTCTGCAGCCCAGCCACTCGTGGGAGGCAGGGACTGCACAGTCTTTTCCATGTTTGGCAGGTGCAGATAGGTGAGAATTCTATTTCATTTCCTTTTCAATAAGAATTTGCCAAAATTTGGAAATGTCATCAGATTTGAGCCAGAAATTAATTCATATTTGGGAGAAAGCAAAACAGGATAGATATGTCAATTCCTAGCACTTGGGGGGTTCCCACTCATGGAGAAGAAATGGAAAACCCCTGTGTGTGGGGGGGTATTAAACCACAAAGTATAGTCTGGAATCCCTTCTGTGGGTCAAGAAGAGAAGCTCCCCATTCCGTTGGCATTTCTCATTCTACATGGAAAAGTTTCTTAGCCAGAGGGTTTGGAAATCAGGCGTTCTGGATTAAATTCATGATATGAATACCAGTGCCTGCCCCTGTTTTAAAACTACAGCCCTGCTCAGGTGCTCTCTTTTGGAATGACAGAGGAGCACAGTTGTGCTTGCTACCTCTGTCCTCCAACAGTCTTGTCACTACCAGCTGCAAACCTCACTAAGTGAACATCTGAGGGGAGAAACATGGTGTGTTCCATCTGAACAGGAGTAGAGCAGTCCATGCAGTTTTGGTTCCCTGATTGCACGGAACCTTCTAAGCAACTTCATCCAAATACATGAAAGCCTTCTGGCTTCACACAAAGCTTGGGAGTAGAACCAATGTGGATAGGGATGCCAGATGCAACATGCACAGCCCTGGTGCTCTCCTGGTACATTCTGAGAAGACATGGACCAAATTCCACACAGGGCTGATTCTTTAAATACGATTCTTTACGGTTACAGCACTCCAGAACTGGGATCTAGCCCTTGGCAAAGGCTGCCAACTGAGTTTGTGATGAATGCGTACCCTTTTCGAATCAAGAGTAAATTCCATCCTCTGGACTCTGTGGACACATGCCTGTGCACACTTAGGCAGAAAAAGGCCTTCAGCTTCTAGCATTCTTCAGACAGACAGGCAGCTGTAGGCCCTCTTCCATTCAAATATGTGCAAGGAGAAGCTGAGGGAGGCAGGATGTGCCATAAGAAGTCCTAAGACACTGGAGAGGGTAAGATGTGCCATATTTCTTATGGTTTGGTTGAACGTTAAGCATTACATAAGGAAGATGTATTTAGCTAATGTGTGCTTTTGTTTTATTTCTTAGTTTTTGTTTGCCAACCTAAACACCACAGGCTAAAAACTGGACTAAAGGCATATTCCACAAATTTTGTGGAGATGCCAATTCTCCATTGATATTCACCTCCAAAGAAGGTGAAAGCACATTTTCCAGTCAAGACTGTGAAGACTGATAGCTTTGCCGCATGGCTGAAAACTGTTGCAAAGAAAGAGCTGTTTGACCATTTGTTGGTTTTTTGCTTGTTTTTAGTTAGTTTGTTTTGCTGGGATTATATACCATCTTAAACTTATTCACTATCTTTAGTCAGCTGAAACTAATTTTGAAGACCCTTAAAATGTCTGGGCAACTGCTTCACTTTCTCAGGAATGCTGACTTATGAGACACTCCAAACAGTTCATATTGATTAAGAAAGGTCACAATGTCTAAATTGTATCTATTGATATACCACAGCAATAAAGGGAGTTTATGCCCCGGCAGAGGAAGGCAGGACACACTCCAATGGAGCAAAGTTCAGGGAACCCAGGTTCCATTTAGATGCCAGGAAGCACTTCCTGACAGTCAGGACCCCGAGGGTGTGGAATGGGCTTCCACGGGAGGTGGTTGAGGCCCCACCAGTGAGGGTGTTCAAGGATAGGCTGGACCTCCACATGGTGGGCATGTCGTGAGTGGAGCTGGCTGGAGCCGGGGGTCAGACTAGATGGCCCGGGAGACCCCTTCTGATTCGCTCTGTTTCTATGTTTCTAGGTTTAAGCATGCCCAGCTCTGTTAAATTTTTCACCTACTTTTTTCTAAAGCAATATTCAACATGCATGTTTGTGTCCCAGAGGAAGAACAGGAATAGTTTCATTTCTAATTAATCAAATTAGCTTGTATATATTAATGGTGTATATTCTTAGCTAGTGAGCTGAAATTGGTGCAATCAGTCTTTGGAAGAATTAGAGGGTGGCATCCAATGTTAGCCCTGCGTGGAACTGAACCCACTGAAAAGAATAGGCATTCATGGCTAACGTCTCATTCTGGTCACAGAGCCTAGTCCAAACAAGGCCAGCACTGGCTACTCCCTCAGCTGATCAGAATGGAGAACATCCTTCCTCAGTTTATTTTCTCCATAGCTGATCAGCCACCTGCCTCCAGACCAAGTCCAAGGGGGCAATGAAGCCCATTGTTCGAGGGCTATCATAGAATCATAGAATAGTAAAGTTGGAAGGGGCCATGGGGTCCCAGCCCCTGCCAGTGCAGGGCACTAAGTTAAACCATCCCTCTCAGATGCCAGTCGCATCTTAAATGTTTCTAACATGGGAAAGCCCACAGCCTCCCACAATGGTCATTGGCACCATTGTTGTACTGTTCAGCAGGAATTCAGCTTCCTATAGCTTGAGTCCATTATTCTGTGTCCTGCACTCTGGGATGGTCAAGAGGAGATCCTCTCCTTCCTCTTTGTGACAGCCTTTTAAGTACTTGTAGAGTGCTATCATATCTCCCCTCAGTCTTCTCTTCGTGGGGCTGAATATGCCAAGTTTTTTCATTCTCTCCTCACAGGGCTTTATTTCCAGTCCCTGGATCATCCTTGCTGCCCTCCTCTGAACCCTTTCCGGCTTGTCTGCATCTTTCATAAACTGTGGTGCCTGGTACTGGACACTGTACTCCAGTCTGGCCAGTGCTGAGTAGAAGGAAACTAGCAGTTCATGGGATTTGGAAGTGCTACTTCTATTAATGCAGCCTAAAATAGGATTTGCTCTTTTTGCAGCTGCGTCGCATCGTTGGCTCATCTTTAGCTTGCAATCTACACTGCCAAGGGAAAACAAAAGGTGGACATCCAGTGACCGTGCAGCAGCAAGCCAGTAGCAAGTCCTCTGGAAACACTGTAAGGGCTTGCTGGTGAGCCTGGGGTTGTGCAGGGGGTACATCTGGGGTTCAGGTCAAGCAGCAGCCCTGAGCCCGAGTCTCTGCCAAGCATTCCGACTGTCTGTGGGACACTCACTAGGAACTGTGACCCATGTGCTGAGCAAGGAGCCCTCCCTTCTGTGTCCAGTACTGGTGTCACTGGCTGCAATGGGTAGGAAAGACGGTTGGTTGCTGGAAGTGGCACCAGGCACCTCTTCTGCATCATGCAGCCCCTCTCAGGTGACGGGGAAGTTGGCAGTTGTGCAACCGGGTGTCCACAAGCACGCCCGGACTCCCTCTTGGCTCAGCAGGGCCAGGCTGAGCAGGCGAAGGTGTCCGAGGATGCTCGAGGGACGGCTTCCAAAAGTGTTTGTCCCAATCCTAATTGGGCCAGTTGTCTCTTCGCAGGAATCACTGAATTTAGTATGATTAAGGCAGAGCCATGAGATTTAAATAGCGATCAGGATAGGAAGTCGCAGAAGGGTGGGCATGATCCCTGGATTAAGCACCCCTGTAATGGCCACAGCCCTCTCTTCTCCTCTTGGCTTGGCCAAGAGAGCTGCTTTTTGTGCTAGGGTGGCCAAAAACAGGCAGGTACAGCAGCAGCAGGATGCACTTGGACAGTTTCCCAGGCCTCAACCCAGCAGCATCTCCCAGGGATTCAGGTGCTGGGAGAAGCAGCTCTCCTTACCAGGATCTACCTGCTTCTGCCCCTTCATATTCAACAAATACTTCTGGTTTTGGTCATGTGACTACTGATGTAGCCCTACTCTGTGTAGTCTGAAGTGGATAAATTTAGATTCACCTGAAAAGAGCTGAGATCGCATTCCTCCCTGTCTAAACTTATCACCTTTGAAAACTAGCCAAAAGCCAACACAAGCCAGCATGGTATACCTGAGATGGAGGCCTTTGCTTGAGCACACCATCCAATGGTTTAAAGGTAAGTGAGAATATCCAAAGTTGCTTTATGCTGATGCTTTATACATCATTGGGACAAATGATCTACAGCCAATCAAACATTGAACTAAGGCCACAGCTTCAAGAAAGGAAGGAGGGGAGGGGAGGGGAGGGGAGGGGAGGGAAGAAGGAAGAAGGAGGGTCTTCTTCTGCCTAACTTGGAGTTGTTGGGAACTGAGCCTGGGAAAGTCTCCATGCAATGTTTGTGCCCAACCACTGAACCACAGGCCTTCGGTTCTGCTTCTCAAGAGCACTGGTGATCCCATTGGGAAACTCAGGGCTGCTGAGGAATCAGATTGTAGATGCCAACATATTTCAATGAAAGCAAAGGCTGAAGCTAATTTGGTGTTTTGAAGAGAATAAATTGAGTACAGTTTAGGCCACAACATTTCTCAGGGTCTGTGGATGCTCCTAATCTGCGCAAAAATGTGACCAAATTGTTTTGCATACCAAGAGATGGAAAAGTTACAAGAAACTAAGACTCCAAGGTATGATTTGTTCCTCGTGTGGTATAGAAATAGCCATGGGGGTGTCTTCCTCTTCCCCGCCTTCCCCCCTGCCTTTAGTGGTGACTCTTTCATGTAACTGAGTGTTCATGAATTGAGCTCAGATAATAAGCAGATCACAGAAATTATTTTTCCAGTGGTTCTCTAGCTAAGTTTGTCGTGTGAATGCTCATTCATATTAATAGTTTGAGAGGGGAAACCCGTTTCTGATTACTTGTACCACCAACCATAGTCTCTGCCGCCTTGATCTACACACCCAGACTCCATTGGTTCAATTATCATAACGTTCCTGCAGCAAAGACCGTGTGAAAAATTTCCTAATAACTAAGATATGCAAAACTGTCCCTTTCGTTCTGTTAAAGGGCATCTCACTACCTTTGCTCTGGCGTCTTATTCTCAGAAAGTGTATCAAGCAAAACCCGATTCATTGTCTTGGCCATGCAGATGGGAATATTCCTCATGAATCTGAAACTTGGCATCTGAGGCTGACCAGAACCTCTTTCTGGTTATGGTCTGTGTGGCGAGTCATGTGAATATCTCTTTACGATGCAGCCCTGCTGCAATAGTCAGAAGCCCCGTACTCAGAAGGGCACCAGCATCCTACGCAGGGCAGGAGGAGGTGAATGTGGGAACCAAGGTTCCGTTTGGATGCCAGGAAGTACTTCCGGATGGTTAGGACCCCAAGGGCATGGAATGAGTTTCCAGGGGAGGTGGTTGAAGGTCCATCAGTGAGGACATTCATGCACATGGTGGGCATGTCATGAACGGAGCTGGCTGGAGCCAGGGGTCAGACTAGATGGCCCAGGAAGCCCCTTCTGACTCACTCTGTTTCTGTGTTTCTAATTTACCTCCTCCCCCTCTGCATTTTTTGCTGGACAGTTTTTTTCTTGTCCATTGACTGTATTTCAGAATGGGAAGAAAGTGGAAGAGGCTTTAGAATAACTCCAGTCAGTTCCAGGCTTTTCTCTCGCACTAGAAATGTTAAAGCAATCCACAGCAGATCAAATGCACTCAGGTTTCTTTTCATCTGATCTGTGGATTCTGCATTGGACCAGCTTTTCCTGAATTACAAGGATTCTGCAGACACCTTTTTTAAACATGCCATAAAATTATGGAAATTTGGTCTTAGAAAAATATGAATTCCCCCCAACTGAAAATGTGCATTTCACACTTACACTAAAGCACGATAACGTACTGAGGGGGATTTGCACATCTTGGGGAGGTGGGCACGGTTTTGGAAATGCAGTGATGTGCAGAAGCTCATGAATGCATTTGAGCAGAATGCAGATTTGTCAATGGGTGAGTCATGGAACGAAGGGTACCTGACAATCCACAAAATGCAGACAGGATAGTTTTGATGAAGCCTATAGGCCCCTGCCCTCTGCCCACCAAGACCCCCCTCCCCCTCTTTTTGGAGAATGTGGTCCTTTCCATGCCAGCTGTGAAGCAGAGGGATGGGTTGGGCAGAGTGCCAGTTTCCAGCTCTGTGGGAAATATCCTGTGGCCCCTCAGATGCTTTCAGAAGCATTGCTGCCCGCAGCAGTCTAAAGCACATATGCATTGCTTCGAGCATCACATGCACAGAATGGTCTACAACTGGCCATTTGTGCACCGGCTTCTACTCCTGGCCTCTGCTTTTGTACCCGCAGATCTAACAGGAAGGTTGGAATGCAAAACAACCACTGAAACAGGGAAGAAGCAGTCATTTCTGACTATCCATAAAGCAGGTGCGGGCACCGTCTGGTCTTCCAGATGTTGTTGGGCTGAAATCCCTGACTGTTAACTGTGCTGAGTGGTGCTTGTCAGAGTTGGAGTCTGGAATATATGGAGAATCACAGGCTGCCCTCCCCTGCCCTCCAGCTGTGGAAAGAATAGCACCGGTTTCATGGGTAGGCAACTTGGTGTCCTCCAGAGTTCCGGATACCAACCCCTATCAGCCCCACCCAGCATGGTCAATGGTCAACAATGCTGCGGATTGTAGTCCTAAACATCCAGAGGGCAAGAGGGTGGGGAAAGCTGCTGTGAATCCTGGGCTCAAAGCAAGCAAAAGCTGGGCATGAGGAGGGCATGTTGAAATCAAAGGAATTCACAGTCAGGTGTAGCTAAATTCCATTCTATGGCTTTGCATGGGGCTTCGTTGTGAATAATGTTTGCTTGCTCGTGCTCATTATCTTGTTTACAAGATAACTGTGGCTCTTTAGATGGACCCTGGAGGGGTATTACCACATAATGCAGAAGGTCAACAATGCCCAATACAATTTTACCTGTGGGTCTCTGATGGGAACATTTTAGCTTCACAGAAACCAAGATTCCTATGGATTAGACAGACATATTCTTGGTTCCAAGATCATCCTCCTCCTGCCCTCCCACCCACACTTCTCTCTTTCTGTCTCTCACTTGGGAGAATGATTATTTTAAATATTAGCCTTAATCAAGGAGGGGAAGCAGCTAACATGTGGGCTGACTGACAGCAGAGGCCTGGAATGCTGGTCTCCGTTCTGTGTGTTCTAAGCGCTAGTGCGACTTGAACCTTGGGGCTATGTAAATTCAAGGGGAAAAAAGAATGGATGCCACTGTGACTGCATTCCATTTGTGATGGATTTAATTATCAAAATGACTAATTATTCCATTAAGGTAAGTGCTCAGCTAGGTGATACTTGCAAAATTAAAAATATAATAACTTACATGCACTACATTGCCAAGAAATTAAGACATTTATCAAGTTTACTGGGAAGGATTAATGTGGCATTTTAGCTGCCGTTAGCATAAGAGACAAATTCAATTAAGGGAAAGTGAGAAGATGTCAAGCATGCTAAGAACCGGGGAGGGGAGGGGAGGGGAGGGGAGGGGGTGAGAAGGGTGGACCTAGAGAGGAGGAAGACGGCAAGGAAGGAGTCCGTACTTACCACGGCACCAACGCCGTATGTGGCTGCTGGAGCAAGTGCGTGGTGGTAGGGGTCTGCAGCATAAAGTCGTCCGTAACTAAAAAGAAAGCAGAGCGAAGATTTAATAAAGGAAAGACAAGCAAAAAAGCCCAGGGGTTAAAGACAGAAAAGAACTGCCAAATGAATGCAATCAGACATTCCACTCTATCCAATTACACTGGAAATGAACTGACTCAGCACTTTATGGAAGCAATATCCTCTGGGGGCGAAATATGTTCGGTCTACAAATGAAAATGACGAAGTGAACACAAATGTATAATTAGCTTTGCAAGATTAACACTAGGCAGTCCATGTGCTGCTTGGCTGCAGGACGGGGGATCCACCCCCCCCCTTCACGGGGCATTAGAAGAGCTTGCGGTTCCTGCTGCACTTTGATGTCCTGAGACCGTGGTGAGACTAACTGGTGAACCGTGGGGGGAGGATGGGCCTCCTAGCGGCTCTCCGTGATGCCCACTTGGCAGAATCCTGCAAACATTCAGAAGAGCTATAGATGGGCGAGAAGCTCATTTTTGAACAGAGTTTACCAAAAGTATAAAGTGCCCCATGTGGGGTGGAAGGCAGGGAAAGCAAAGAGGAAAGATGAGAAAGGGAATGTGAGAGAAACGGAAAAAAGTTGGATTCATATATCCAGGCCCAGGACTTAGCTCTAAATGGGCGAATTGTATGAATGTTTAGATGGCAAAAAAACCTACAATTCCCAGCTAGGAGCTATAAGGCCTTTTTTTCCTGCCTAAGCATCCATAGTATTGTACCCTAAGTCGGGATTTAAATCCCTGTGTATTCAATCATGCTAGTGTTTGATTTCGGTTGGTGTCTGTCTGTCTTCCTGACAATCTTGACAGGTGAACCCTGGTTCTTTCCATGTGGGGAATGTACCTATTGAATTTGACCAGTGCAGACAGATCCAACTGTCATTTTAGTTGGTTTTCATTTACCAATATATGCACAGTTTTTAGATTGTGAATTCAGTTCATTTACACTTTAAGAAACTTACTAGTCTTATGTTTAGTTTATTGCAAACTTTGATTTTTTAAAAATGTTTGCATATACATTTGCAAACATTGAATGTTCACAAAATGTGCATAAACATTTTGTGCACATTTTTCTAATCAATGATTTTTATGTACAGTTTCACCTGGTTTATACATTGTGACAGCCAGTTTTCCTAAGTTAATGCATTTTTTAAAACCTTGTCTTCCCTAAGATGTTGATTTTTCTTTAAATATTTGATTGGAGACCATGGGAAATTTTTAAAAAATGAATTTGAAAAGATAATGGAGTGCCAAGCAAATTTACATTCACACTGTACGGTGCTTCTCCAAAGAGCAAGCCGTGTGGCTGCTGTGGCAGCTTCATCAAGCAGGTGGACAGTGACCACGGCAGGGAATGAGAAGCCCGCTTTCGAGTGAGACGTGGCTGGACCAGAGGACCCTTCCAGCTGCTTCCCACACAGCCCTGAGGAAGAAGCGAATGTGCGGGGCCACAAAGAGAAAGCAACGCCGAGTGGGAACGTTTGATTCAGCCGAGAGGGGCAGTGCCACATGTTCCGCCCCTGTGCAGTTATTCTTGACAGAAACAGCTTCTGTGTGAGAGATCCCATGACTGGATGGTTCAACAGAAATGCAAACTGTAGCTGGATGAATTTGTCAAGGTTGTTTCCTGTTTTCCATTTTTAGATTTGTCTTACAGCATTCTGGAAGCAGTTCACATTTTCAAAATATGTATATGAAAATCCACATGAATTGGTTCCAATTTAAGCATTTTGTACACAATTTTGCCCAATCTACACCTTTCTGCAAGAAATTGTTCCTAATGTGATGCACCTTTCCATGCCATTTTCACTAATATACATTTTTTTTGTGTCTATTTTGGTACACCACGACATTTGAAGAAGTGCAACTACGTTTCGGTGTGCATATTGAGCTGGGAAGTGTTCATTGGATAAGCTGCATTAACATGAGAACTGAACTCGTTCCCAGTTTATCTCTCATGGAAATGGAATGTGGACACTGGAGAAAATGTACACCTGGTTGTGAGGAGTCAAACAAGGTCCTTTTTTGTGTGGCAAAGGCTATGAAGGAGGCCATGCACCCCATTCACAGTGGAGAGAGAAGGCAGCCCTTTGCTCTGCCCACAGCCATAATTCAGCATGACAGGCAGCCCAGAAGTGAAGGAGAACAGGCACAATGGCTGTGAACATTTCGAGGCCTCGCATGATCCGTGAGTTTCTAGCTGCCTTGACAGGGCACTTCTCTCAAGCACAGTTTCACCATGTCTGTAGCACTGACCTTCTCAGGGTTGTTGTAAGGAGTTCTGTAAAGGGGTATGGAAACATTCGTGGTAAGGTTACTGTGAGGACAGATCTGGAAAAGCTTTTGGAAAACTCTCTCCCTCTCTCATACATGTGTGTGCATGAACACAGCATTGCAAGTTGAGTCCAGAAATGCATTGGTTAACTTGAAATCCATGGGATATGGCAATTATGATTTAAGTCTCATTAACTTCTACAGAATCTAAATGCAATTAACAAAGCTTGGACACAACTATTTATTACTTGCTTAAAAGTCCACCCTTGTGAAGCCTTAAGGTTGGGGCATGATGCAAGTTAAAGAAGCATTAAGGCTGTTGTTCAATTAAAATGTCTCACTTGATCAATAATCAGCATTCTTCTAGGTGCACGATTAATTAATTAATTAATTTTGCATAGGCATAACGTTTACACATCCGATGAGAAATGGTCCATTTTCTCCAGGATCTGAGTGATCCCTGTTGCTGATATAGCCCTCTTTACTCGCATGAGCCCCGATGAAAGAAAAAACTCGCACTATGTTGAACCAAGCTGGGCTGCAGACAGGTGAAGAGAGTAACAGGGTCACTCCACAAAGCATCTTCTGCCTGACTTCACAGTACTGGCATAGGAAAACTTGTAGGTGTGTGGTAGTTCCCAGGAATAGCCAACTTTTCCAGCACTGAGTACCAATCAGCTGTTTCTCACGAGAATTTGTTGTGGTTTGGTGTTGAATAAAGGGCAGAATTTGTGTAGACCTTTGGGAAGGGGAATGCATCTAACTATGGAGAATTCAGCTGTCCATAATCACATTTGCTCTATTCTACATAACCCCACCTTTCATCTTTATAGTGATTAAGAACACAGGAAGCTGCCTTATACCAAAAGAGATGATAGCTCCAACACTGACTGACAACAGTTCTGTGAAGTATCGGATGAGGATCTTTTCAAGATGTCTATCTAGGGTCTGCCACAGCTTCTGTATAGCCTGAAGTGCCTGATCCTGCCTAATCTTGGAAGCTAAGCAGAGTCAGGCCTGGTTGAAATCTGCATGGTTGACTTAAAAGTCATGACCCACGTGGATGTTGTGGCACATCCTTCATTGCCTTATTCCACCAGTCCAACCTGAATCCTTTCTGAAGATATGCTTTTAAATGGACTCCTCAGATAATGAGGAGACATGTAGAGAACATGATGCGATTGTGTCAACATGGAGCTTTATGGGCAAGGAGCAGTGCTCTTGCTCCCAGCATGCAACCAATCAGATTTGGCTGTATGACAATGTCATGAGGTATTTTTAAATTTCTATTTTACTTGTTCGTTGTAAACTGTCCCGAGACACTACATGGAAACATGGAAACAGAGCTAGTCAGAAGGGGCCTTCCGGGCCATCTAGTCTGAGCCCCGGCTCCAGCCGGCTCCGCTCACGACATGCCCACCATGTGGACGTCCAGCCTATCCTTGAACACCCGCACCGCTGGGGCCTCAACCACCTCCTGTGGAAGCCAGGGACAGTTTATAAAAGCTTTAAATACATACATACATACAAACGATATATGAAAAGCAGAGCTGAGACAAAATGGAAGAGGGGTGCTTCTATTCCCTTGTGGCCCCTCCAAACAGTATCGTCTTCTTGTTTTTGAAGAAAGCATTTGTCCTAATAGCCTTTGCCCTGGGGTTGCAGCAGCAAGGGAAAAAGTCACCCTGGCCCCACCTGTCAGTGCCAAAAGCCAACAATTGATTTAATGTAAGAACAGCTGTTCTAACTTGAGCCACACACATTTTCACAGCCTTGCTTAGAATACACACCACCGCATCAGCACCTTAGAGATGTCTCAAACCGTTAGTAAGGGTACGCTGCATGCTGACATGTGCATATACAAAAATTAGCTCACGATGAACTGCACGTTGCTTGCCCTGGGTTATATTCAGAGTCGAAAAAGTACTTGAGTATTCTGGGTGATGCAACTATGTGGAACTCTGGGGATTGTATGGGAGGAAACCACCCTGCTACATTGTCACAAAATCATATAAATGCCAGGGAAATCCACCCCCCATCCCCAGTAAGTTGGTGTGAACTGGTAATGTAGCCTGTGGCTCCAAAAACTAGGGATGTTGAAGACTCCAGCAGGTGTGAACAGTGGGCAGATTCTCATGATTCAATCCCCTGAATTCCACTTGGTGAGCCCTGCACTAACCTCGCATAATGTGAGCCTAGCAGGCTTGTGGACAGCTGTCTCTAGGGCAGGCTCCAATTTGCGCACACACACACACAACCTGAAAATATTAGTGTAAATAGCACTAGTTGCATAATTTGTGTAAATCTGTAAACACTGCATAAATAATGGGATTTTGCATGTTTCATCCAAATTGGCAAGTAAAAGGTACATGGGTTGAGTGCAATTGCCATAAATTATTCAATCAGATGCAAGATTCACATAATTTTTGGGTGCTGATTTGTGCAATAAAGTAAAAAGTATTATGAGTTTGTGTGTGTGTGTGTGTGTGTGTGTGTATATATATATAGTTAGGAACATTAGGTAAAATTGTGCAAATTGTTTTATTGCCTTAGCATTTTAAAAATTGCAGAAACCATGGGCTGTTTTGGAGATGGAAGTCCATGGGAAAGAAATCTGACCTGACCTATTTCTGATTATCAGTTTGGAAGTGGGACAGCTTTCAACTTCAAAGAAACTGGAGTTCCCTGCTTTGGCAAATCCCTAAAGGTCTTCAGTGAGCTTTGAAGCTGT